AAGGGCTTAAAAGCCCTAGTTTTAAATTGGCTTGAAAAATCCTATTTCAACCCTACCCAATAACAAGTTGGATTGGGCCGACCCCATGTACTAAGCCCATTTTGACGGCTCTAATAAAATGATGTAAAATTTCTTTTCTTAGGGACCTTTTTTTGACTATTAAAGATTTTTTTAATTGAAAGAATTAAACTTTTAGACTCTTTGACAAAAGGGTACAAGAGATTATCCTCACCATGAAATGGGAAAGAACATTAAATATTCATTAAATGTTAATTGAATATGGATGTGTCGGAGTGGGTGGATACCTCTCTAAGTTCCCTATATAATAAGCCAAATCTGGTTCGTTTTTCTTCATCTCAGTCTTTCATTTTCAATTTTCTACCCACTAAAAAAAATTCTCAGTTATTTCCTTCATAAATCAGCCTCCTTTATTATCTTTTTCCTCACTCTTCTCTCACATAAAATATTATTAGTTTTTTTTAATAAACACATTAATAAATTCTTAATGATTTCCTTGCCCCTATCTCATTTTTTTGCAGTTAACTAGATCTAAAATGGAGGATAATAATTGGGATTTAAGTGATGTGGTAAGAAGTTGTAATAGTAATGAACCTAACAATGTTACAGCTCCTAACTTTGGCTTGGTGTCTTTTGAAAATGATGATTGGAACACTTTTGATGAATTTTTTTCTACTGACATGCCTAATTTTAATGACTTATCTGAGATTTTCTCTATAGATTTTTCAGTTGCTCACCAAGAAAAAATAGATAATCAGGTCATAATCATGGACCAAAATAATAATCAAGAGACATACCCACATCCCATTCAACCAACTCAAATTAGTCAACAAATCATTCTCCTCCATTACCAACAACAATAACATGTGTGCCAACAACAACTACGACATCACAAGAATTGTTTGATCGACGACAACTTGAAAATTTTGATGACCAGGTCATAATTATGGACCAGTACTTACATCCCATTCAACAAACTTATTTTGGCCAAAAAATCTTTCTTCCGTCGTTACCAACAACGGTAACATGTATGTCAACAACAACTACAACACCACAAGAATTGATCGATCTACAACAACAACCTAAAAAATTAGATGATCAGGTCATAATGATGGACCAAAATAATAACCAGGAGATGTACTTACATCCCATTCAAACAACTCAATTTGGCCAACAATTTTTTCTTCCTCCGTCACCAACAATGACAACTTGTGTGGCAACAACATCTACAACATCACAAAAATAGATTGATCTACAACAACAATTTGTGATGCAGGATGAAGTTTATCCTAATTTAAGTATGCCCAGGAAGACTCCTCTGATCGAAACTTGTAAAAGGTAACTACTTCCTCTGTTAAATTTTAAGTGTATGTGTTCAGAATTTTTATTTTAATACTTTTAATTTGAAATCAGAAAAATTCAGTCAATAAGAGTTATCTATGAAGTGTTGCAAGAGGAATTCACAAATGATAAATGGGCATGGAGTAAGTGTGGTCAGAAGTCAATCAAAGGTTCTCCATTTCCGAGGTTTGCTCTCTTCATCATTCTATCATATCGTAGAACATATTTTTCTCCCTTCGTTACCAACAACGGTAACATGTATGCCAACAACAACTACAACACCATAAGAATTGATCAATCTATAACAAGAACCTGAAAAATTAGATGATCAGGTCATAATCATGGACCAAAATAATAACCAGGAGATGTACTTACATCCATTTAACCAACTGAATTTGGACAACAACTTCCTCCATCGCCAACAACGACAACGTGTGTGGCAACAACAACTACAACATCACAAAAATTGATTGATCTACAACAACAATTTGTGATGCAAAATCAAGTTTATCCTAATTTCACTATGCCCATGAAGACTCCTCTGATCAAAACTTGTAAAAGGTAACCACTTCCTCTGTTAAATTTTAAGTGTGCGTGTTTAGAGTTTTTATTTTAATACTTTTAATTTGAAATCAGAAAAAATCAGTCACAAAGAGTTATCTATGAAGTGTTGCAAGAGGAATTCACAAATGATAAATGGGCATGGCGTAAGTGTGGTCCGAAGTCAATCAAAGGTTCTCCATTTTCGAGGTTTGCTCTCTTCGTCATTTTTTCATATCGTAGAAAATGTTGTTTAGTTCTCTATTTTCATGATAAAAAGTAGTAAAAAAATATTAGTGGTAAATATAGACAAGTGTAATATTTGATCAGTACTAATTATAATTTGTGTATATGATATATCAGGAACTACTTTAAGTGTAGTACATCAAGATTCTGCGAAGCAAAGAAAATAATTGCGAAAAGCCCAAAGAATGAGAACTATTTATTGGTGTCCTATTCTGGTGAACACAACCATGATCCTCTTACATATCGTAGATCTCTTGCTTTATATAGCAATAGTTCCAAAAACAAATTTCCAAAAGGCATAAATATTGTGCCCAAAGCATTAAACTTAAATGCATCATCGTCCTCATCCCAGCGTGCTAAGCGTTTAAAAGTTGATGCCTCTTCAATTATTCGAACTATAGCTACACTTGAAATTGAGAGAAATAATAAAACGGTTGATGTTGTCACGGAGAACAAAGACGATGGTGAAGAGGAGGAGAACGCGTATGAAAAAATTTTCATGGGGTTTGAAGAATTTCAAGAAGTTACTGCTTCCATCTTATGGGAATGAAATGAACAAGAGGAATTGTTCTTTTTTCCCCTCTCCATCAACTCTATTATGTGCACCTTTTGTCTTCTAGTCATGTTCTTTTTAGTTATAAGTGGGGTCAAAATTTTAGATTTATAGTTTGTTATGTTTAACCATGTCATAGAAATATGGTGCTTCTCTAGGTAGCTAGATATGAATCATTTCCATTTTTCTTTCATTTTTGTTGTTTTTTAATATGAAAATTTGACCCCTCTTGGAAGTTGTTGTTTTATTTTCTCAAATAGTTCTTTCTTTAAGAAAACTCACTGGTCTCAAACTCTCAGTTTATACATTAAATTGTACGAAGTATTAGGATATCACAATTCAATTTCAGAAGATATATATATATGATGCATGCATTAACCATTTCGAAGGAATTTTCACACTAAATAATCAATTGTGTGTTCTTGTGGATTACTATTAATTTAAAAGATAGAATAAGTAATTTGTTTTAGTACTCTGTTAAATTATTTTTGATGGTATAAATTTCTTCTCTATATCATCAATGGTTTATAAATATCTCAACAACCATTTTTGATTTTCTTATTTCTGGTTCTTTTTCTTTTGCTAAAGGACACTTTTATAGTCATATTATCTTTGAACAAGAAATATGTGTCAAATATGTAATTATAATAAGTATAGGGATTTATGAAATCCTTGTGATCTTTAATGTTGCTAGAAGTAGCATTAAATGCAATCTCTACGTATAAACTGTTACAAATATTAATTATTAATCTAAAAGGTTTGCATAATTAATGTTGTAATATATTATTTCAATATTGAACATTGTACTACTCTAGTTCATTTTACTTGTCATATTTATTTTTCACCTCTTAAAGATGATTAATTAAAAGGTTACTTAACTAAATTATTATTATATAATCTTGATGTATTAATCTATCTATTAATCAGTCAAAATATTATCAAATTTTTTTGCAGTCGAGAGATTTCCTAATGAGGAGAACTTGCGTCTGATCAAATTTTTACCTATTGAAAAAGATTAATTGAAAGGTTACTTAACTAAATTATTATTATATAATGTGTTATAATCTAAGCCATCTTTGTTCATACAGGGCATATGATCTGATCAAATTTGGAAAGAGTACCAAAACTTGAAAGGAGATATTGTTATATTCTTCATTATATGCAGTAGTAACCCACAAAATGATTTCTCAAGAGAAAAAAGAGAACATGAAGGGTGTGTTTGGTATGAAGGAAAATGTTTTCCTGGAAAACAAGTTGATTTTTGACTTATTTTTTCATGTTTGGTTAGTGATTAAAAAATATTTTCCGGAAAAGATTTTTAGTGTTTGATTTATGAATGAAAAATATTTTTGAGAAATATCTTTTATTTTTACTAGGTTAAATTATTTTTTGATGGTATAAATTTCTTCTCTATATCATCAATGGTTTATAAATATCTCAACAACCATTTTGATTTTCTTATTTCTGGTTCTTTTTCTTTTGCTAAAGGACACTTTTATAGTCATATTATCTTTGAGCAAGAAACATGAGTCAAATATGTAATTATAATAAGTATAGGGATTTACGAAATCCTTGTGATCTTTAATGTTGCTAGAAGTAGCATTAAATGCAATCTCTACATATAATCTGTTACAAATATTAATTATTAATCTAAAAGTTTTGCATAACTAATGAAGTAATGCATTATTTCAATATTGAACATTGTACTACTGTAGTTCATTTTACTTGTCATATTTATTTTTCACCTCTTAAAAAAGATTAATTAAAAGGTTACTTAACTAAATTATTATTATATAATCTTGATGTATTAATTATTCAAAATATTATCAAATTTTTTTGCAGTCGAGAGATTTCCTAATGAGGAGGACTTGCGTCTGATCAAATTTTTACCTATTGAAAAAGATTAATTGAAAGGTTACTTAACTAAATTATTATTATATAATCTTGATGTATTAATTATTCAAAATATTATCAAATTTTTTTGCAGTCGAGAGATTTCCTAATGAGGAGGACTTGCGTCTGATCAAATTTTTACCTATTGAAAAAGATTAATTGAAAGGTTACTTAACTAAATTATTATTATATAATCTTGATGTATTAATCTATGTATTAATTATTAAAAATATTATCAAATTTTTTTGCAGTCGAGAGATTTCCTAATGAGGAGGACTTGCGTCTGATCAAATTTTTACCTATTGAAAAAGATTAATTGAAAGGTTACTTAACTAAATTATTATTATATAATCTTGATGTATTAATCTATGTATTAATTATTAAAAATATTATCAAATTTTTTTGCAGTCGAGAGATTTCCTAATGAGGAGGACTTGCGTCTGATCAAATTTTTACCTATTGAAAAAGATTAATTGAAAGGTTACTTAACTAAATTATTATTATATAATGTGTTATAATCTAAGCCATCTTTGTTCATACAGGGCATATGATCTGATCAAATTTGGAAAGAGTACCAAAACTTGAAAGGAGATATTGTTATATTCTTCATTATATGCAGTAGTAACCCACAAAATGATTTCTCAAGAGAAAAAAGAGAACATAAAGTCTAATTTGGTTTTCTTACAATAGCAGTTTTATCCACACACAATCTGGAGAGTAGTTAACTGACATATTACTTAATTTTGAAATAAAAGAACTCAGAGAACATTAAAGTGTGTAACAAACATGAACTCCACTTGGAACTTGAAGTCTACCGCAATATTTTAGTAGAAAGAGAAAGAGACTATGTATTGGAATTCTTACCTCCTTAATTCTATAAAGGAACACGTAATTACTACTTGTTCCTCACTATTTGAAGTTAATAGTAAACATAATAACTCATTCAAAACTTCGTATTATTTATAGCACCTTCAAATAACACAACAATTACACAATTAAGTAACCTAAGGAATTATAAACTCTAATCCCTAGCTACCCAAGACAAAAACCCCCAGGTTTAGGTCTTCTATCGTTCTTCAAGTTCCTCAAACTTGTTAAACGAAACCTACTCACAAACACTTAATTGTATTCAAAAACTCTTGACTACAATCGTACAATATTTCTTTCAACTCACAGCACTCCCCAAGTAAATATCAAAACCCTCACAAAACTCTTGATCGTGTTTTGATTCTTCGCGCACTGTAAGTGCGCAGGTTTCTTCAAAGAAACTACTTTCCTATTTATAGATCACACTTCCTTAAAGTCTTGTTCAACTCAAACTTGTCTTCACTGCCTTAAAAGCCTTGTTCAACTCAAACTTAATTTGGACTCCTATTTGCACTCGACTTCTTTCAGAAAAACTTAAGCGTAGTAGTTTTCCTTAATTGATTAAGAAAACTTCCTTAACCTTGAACTCCTCTTTCTATACGTTTTAGATAAAACACTTTGTATCACGTATGCACAACCTGTTTTATGCACTTTGATAGTCTTCAAAACTCAAAAGCTCATAACAAATTCCCCCTTTTTGATTATGGCAAATTTTTCAAGCTTGGTATTGAAATCTGCTTGCATTGAGTATGTAAACACATATGCACGCTTCTCTTCCTCCTTTTGACATCAGGCAAAAAATCTGGAAATAAAGACATATCCATGCTACAAGCAATAATATCACAACAAGCTATAACAAAAAACCACACCAAACTGAGTCATTAGTTACACCACAGATCAAAAACAAAAACCATTATCCACAAAAAACAGAAATGCCTACTAAAGACTTGAAAAAGTGAGGACCCAAAACACAAGACATAGCAGAAGCAAGCTGGTATTTAGACAGAAGGTGGTAAAGCAGAGGACGAGGAAGGGGAGCCTTTGGTTAGTATTTCATAGAGGTGCTTCAGACAATCGGAATTGGATGATCTCTCAGTATTCAGCGCAGCTTGAGTCTGAGCAAGCTCCTCTTTAAGCCTTGAATTTTCTTCAGCCAATCTAGCATGCTCCAATCCATAATCAATGTGCAACTGATCTATTGCAGCAGAGTGAGAAACCTGTAGTGCAGTAATTTCCTCATTCTTAACAATTAACGAGGCTCTCAATTGTTGCATAGGTGCATTTGCCCCTCGTGAAGTCGTAGGTATAACATCATGATCAACTACCTCCAACACATCCTTGATAGTCTGTTCTTGCCATTCCTCGATAGGGACCTGAAAATACTCAAAGATATCGCCTAGTCAAAATCCATACCCAAGCCCATGCTCTGTGCTCTCATCCACGCAGATCCTATTAATGTGACTAAGGATCAATTTAGGTAGATTAATTTGAACCTGTGAAATTAGTAACTCTATGAGTGTGAGATCCAAATAGTTTGCCTCCGTACGTTTCTGCTTTCTAGGGAGAATAATTTTGTGTACCACATCAAAGAGTAGCTTATGTAGAGGAAGCATGGCTCCTTTGTCCACCCTAGTGTAGTTCTCTAAAGTAGGATCATTCGCAAACCGACGAGAAATCTCAAGGGTTGATGATAGACCCTCTAAGGGAGGCCAACTACGTTTGACATAATGACACCATCCCAAGTTAGGTACACCTAGTATTTTTTCCAAAACTTCAGCTTTTAATGTGAACGATACACCACCAACACTACTCGAAATAGAAGAGACAGACCCAACAATATTTATATAGAATTCCCTAGTTGCATTCCTAGCCATCTTACGACGTCGATTACCCTGAAGAACCAACGTAGTCCACCCCTGTGCATTCATCAAAGTAAGCAATTCACTCATTTCATTCCCCCCTAAACCAGTAATCAACCTACCACGAATCACACTTTTTTTCTTAAACGACTCTATCCAATCCTGATGTTTTTTCTTTCAATTTCAAGATCACTATCACCATTCTCTATGTGACCAGAGTCCTTTGTTTTAGATACATTTCCTTTCTTTTTCTACTCTTCTTGGATTCAACTATGTTAGCATCAATCTATACAGATTTTAGGAGCGAGACTAATGAAGAAGAATGGGTTTCTGTGGAGAGTGAGAAAGAAAAGGGTTTTTGATTTTTGAGAATGGTAC